TAAATTTCTCCTTCCTCTTGATTTGTGTCTTGGTAGCTGAAACCCCAGGCTCTATGACAGGGGTAGCCAAACTTACTGATCCTCCAAGCTGCATGTGACAATCTTCAGGCACCTCCTGTGGGGCTGAAGCTCCTAGACCGCCTCCCCACTGGGCAGAAGCCCCTAGCCCCACCACCCTGAGCTCCCTCCTTCTCCCCTCCCCCAGTCTGATGGGAGGAGAATGGGGAGGCGTGGGGGGCTCCATGAGCTGTACTTTAACTGTAAAAGAGCCACATGTGGCTTGTGAGCTGCAGTTTGGTCACCCCTGCTCTATAATAAGGCACGTGTGTAAGTGTAATCAGTTCATAGATAATGTGCCAGTAGATGGCGACCAAGACTATGTAGCATCGTTAATTGGTTTTGTACTGAGCCTGTGAATACTTTGGGTGTGTAGCTTTGACCGATAACACTGGGTTTCCCTTCTCCATACACTGCCTGTAATTTGCATAAAAGTGCAACATACTTAAAGTTGGAAGGATTAGATTTTTTTATCAACAAATGTCAATAAACGTCAATTTCACTGTGTATGCACAAACCAAACCCTTGAACAATTTCAAATGAAGGTGCAGACCCCTTTGGAAATTTTAGCCATAGTCGGTGGACCCCCAGGGGTCCACGTGGAGCACAGGTTGAAAACCACTGTTCTAGACAGCCCAGCTCTGCTCCCAGCATGCCCAAGCCCCAGCCCAGGGAACTCACTGTTTCTGGCTGGCTTCTGTTTTGTGGAACCTTGAAACACACAGATGTCTGAGCAGGAACCTAGAATGAATCTCTCAACTCAGCCCAATGCAGAGTTTAGTTTATCACTGTTTATAGCATGCACCTAATTAGAGAGTCTCTGGGTGCATGTACCTTAACTTGCATATCACATGACCGCCAACCCTCACCACTCTGTCACGTGGGGCTGCAATGAGACCTGCCAGCGTTTCGTGAGCACGCGAGATGCTGTCATTCTTTCACTGAATCCCCACGGAGCAGTTGCCCTGGGTGTGGCCTAGATTTTCTCAGCCCAGGAAGCTGGGCTGTTCTGGATCCCTGCCCTCAACTTGCTCAGCCTAGATACCCAGAGTATCAGTCGAGATGTCCCTGGCCTTGGCTGCTCCGCTAGATTTTTCCATCCCAGTGTGACATTCCCAGTGGTTTCAGCAGGGACCTGTGGAATGTCTCCATTTCTCACTGGGGCCTCTGAGTTGTCCCACCTGAACAAAATGAGCATTGATACAGACTTCTGGACCAGCCACACGTAAACAGGAAAGCCCTTCTCAGTCCCAGCCGACCCTGCTGGGAAAAGAAATAACAGGATGTGAATTGCAGCCTCAAACAGAATGCAGTTTCTTTCACTCTTCTCCCTGGGCAGCCCCAACAGGCGCCATCTGGGGAGGGTTCAAGTCTCTGAATGCTCCAGTCTGCCATGCTTCCAGGTGATGTGTCCCATCCAAACGGCTGCTGCTGCTGGCAGGAGGCTTCTGACTCCCTTTGCAGAGCTAACTGTGTTCAGGCAGAGGACTTAGGTGTGCAAACGCCCTGTCAGCACTTAGACCTTGATCGTTTCTGGGAGGGGAAAATGGCCAGAAGCTGAACAGCCCTGGGCTAATGTGCTTTGCTTTCCTTTTCCGAGTTGCAGTGAGTTGTAAATGCATCCAAGTACAGAGCTGATCAGTCACTTGGTACAAACAATTGTCCTGCTCATTGCTGAGATATGTGGTGCTTGTTTCCCTGCTAGGAAAAGTCACCATTAGGAAAACTTCGTTGTAGGCTTAGACTTGGTGTTTACGTTTATACACAGCTTTGTGTTTGGTGGAGAGGATGCAGCAACAGCACTGGATCAGCGCAAGGAGGCTGCTCTAGCCCCTCTCGCTAACCCATGTTGCTGCAAGGGTCTGTGTGAAATGGAAAATTATCTAGTGGAAACTATTATAGGAGCATGTTCTCCTTAACCCTGAGAGGCAGCCCCTTCTCTGGCTTAGGCTTTGTTCACCCTGTGATATTGCACTCCATATGATGTTATAAAAATATGCTAATGAGTGTGAATATAATCTAACTGGAATATGCTTCATTCAAAAGGTCTCTTGTAAGGTATCATTACAAAGCTTATAATCTATTGAGTGTGTTCATCCTATTTGTATGAATGTATCATTTTTGTATCTGAAGCTAGAAATATGAAGTATTACTCTGAGGTCCTATTGTAATTATGCAAAGTGTGGGCCATTAATGGTGGCTTGGAATCTTTATGGCTCCCAATAACCAGGACAATTGGTTGTAAATGGCTCTGTTTACTTGTAAGTCTTTCTGTATACCTGTGTGCTGGCAAGTGGGTAATGAAATCTTACAGTGACATGTGATCAAGTCACCTAAACTGGAATCCATCTTTAACCTGGTGCTTTTCCATTTAGAAGGAGGGGTGGGAACCCAGAGAGGGACAAGGGATTCCCACCTTGTGCAAAAGCTATATAAGGGGGTGGAACAGAACAAAGGGGACTGCAGTCATGAGAAATCCCCTAGCTACCACCTTAGCTGGAACAAGGACTGTACCAGGGGAAAGGATTGGGCCCAGACTAGAAGGAGACTATTCTGTCAAAGAAGCTTATTGGAACATCTCTGAGTGTGAGATTTACCTGCGTTGTTTCCTACGGTATTAGGCTTAGACTTGTGTGTTTTATTTTATGTTGTTTGGTAATTTACTTTGTGTTCTGTCTGTTATTACTTGGAACCACTTAAATCCTAATTTTTGTATTTAATAAAATCACTTTTTACTTATTAATTAACCCAGAGTAAGTATTGATACCTGGGGGTGGGGGAGACAGCTGTGCATATCCCTCTATCAGTGTTATAGAGGGCAAACAATTTATGCGTTTATACAGGGTAAAACCGATTTATTTGGGGTTTGGGAGCTGGGTATCTGAGTGCTGGAGACAGGAGCACTTCTTAAGCAGTTAAGCCTGCAGCTCGTGCGGGATGTGGTTCAGACTTGGATCTGTGTTTGCAGCAGGCAAGCGTGCCTGGCTTATTGGAAAATGGGCTCAGAGGCAGTCTAGGCACATCAGGTGGCAGTCCCAAAAGGGTTTCTGTGATCCATCCTGTCAGACACTCCCAGCATTAGTCACAGCAGGTTTCTTCCTGCTCACCCCCACTTACATCCTAGCGGATGTTTTTTCCCCCCAATGTACACCTTTTGGCAGCCGGCTTTCTGCTCATTCACCAGCTCTGATTCCAGCACCTAGGGTGAAATCCTGGCCCCATTGAATCAGTTGGGTTTTGCCACTAATGACAATGTGGCCAGGATGTCACCTCTAGTCTCTAGTGCTTTTCATAGACTCCTAGAAATGTCAGACTGGAAGGCACATCAAGAGGCCATCAAGTCCAGCCCCCTGCGCTGAGGCAGGATCAGTAAACTTAGACCAGCCCTGACGGGTGTTTGTCCAACCTGTTCTTCAAAACCTCCAATGACAGGGATTCCACAACCTCCTTTAGAAGTTTATTCCAGAGTTTAACTACCCTGAGAGTTAGGCTAGGTCTACACTACCCGCCTGAATCGGCGGGTAGAAATCGACCTCTCGGGGATCGATTTATCGCGTCCCGTTGGGACGCGACAATCGATCCCCGAATCGACGCTCTTACTCCACCAGCGGAGGTGGGAGTAAGCGCCGTTGACAGAAAGCCGCAGAAGTCGATTTTGCCGCCGTCCTCACAGTGGGGTAAGTCGGCTGCGATACGTCGAATTCAGCTACGCTATTCACGTAGCTGAATTTGCGTATCTTAAATCGACTTCCCCCTGTAGTGTAGATGTACCCATAGAGAGTTTTCCTAATATATAACAGGTTTCAGAGTAGCATATATATAATATATAACCTCAATCTCTCTTGCTGCAGATTAAACCCATTGCTTCTTGTCCTACCTTCAGTGGACATGGAGAACAGTTAATCACCATCCTCTTTGTATCAGCCTTTAACATATTGGAAGTCTGTTATCAGATACCCACTCAGTCTTCTTTTCTCAAGACTAAACGTGCCCAGTTTTTTTAACCTTTCCTTATAGGTCAGGTTTTTCTAAACCTTTTACAATTTTTGTTGCTCTCCTCTGGATTTTCTCCAATTAATCCACATATTTCCCAGTGTGGTCCTCAGAACTGAACATGGTACTCCAGCTGAGGCCTCCCCACTGCTGAGTAGAAAACAATAGTTACCACCCATGTGTCACATTGTTGACTCCTGTTCAATTTCTGATCCACTACAACCCCCAGATCCTTGTCAGCAGTACAACAATCTAGCCAATTATTCCCCATTTTTGTAGTTGTGCATTTGATTTTTTTTCCTTCCTAAATGTCATACTTTGCAATTGTCTTTATTGAGTTTTATCTTGTGGATGTCAGACCAATTTGTTATGCGTGTCTTGAATTCTAACCCTGTTCTCCAAAGTGCTAGCAACCCTTCCCCAGCATGATGGTCTGCACAATGCAGCCCTGAGAGGGGCAAAGAAAGTGCCCTCATTAAATGGGGCTTTTCTTGCACCTCTTGTGTATGTGGTTTAATTAGACATTTGGAAGGGGTATTTTTCTGTTCTGGGATCCTGGAGGCCCTGGGTCCATGTGCAGGCTAGGTTACCATGTAGTATGACTCAGCTGAGGTCATTTATATATGACATCAGTGTCACTGCCTCAGCCATGCCATAGAGGAGGGAATCTTTAGCTGCAGAAAGGCCAGAGCTGAGAGCCATTTAGATGATGGTGGTGAGGATTAAGGCTCAGCGCCCCTCCCCTCCCCACCCAGCAAATACTGGCAATTGTGAGCTGCTCTAACATGTTGCCGAGCAGAGGGCAGTGGTGAGACAGGCTGGCCAGTACAGGCTGTAAGTTGAGACTGGGCCCTGCAGGCAGGAATCCCAGCCAACAATTGCCAGTAGCCCAGTGCTGTAGAGGCATCGGTGGTTGATTGGGGAGTAATTGGGGTTTATGCTTGTTCCAGCAGAGTATCCCCAAGGACCTGCCCCCACGCTGTGGAACGAGCCGCCGGAGCTGCCGTCAGGAGGGGGCCCCTTTGATGCTGCCACCACCATGGGTCGCTTCTCGGACTCTACAGCCTTCCCCCCGTACACCTCGGAGTATGAGCCTGAGGACACCACCCACCTGCACCGTCTGGATGATAACGGTACGTAGGAATCTCCCAGGCAGCACCCTGCACCATCCTTGGTTAGAACTGTCCAGCCCACAGCCATCACCTGCACACCCGAGCCCTTCTGTTTGGAGCAAATGTTACCATGGTTTAGGAGAAAATCCATCCAGAAGGTATTGCTGAGAACTCCCTATTATCTGTGATCTCCAGAGAAAGGGGAAATGAATGCTGGCCGTATAAGCCATTCTGTTCTTTATCGCTTGTTTAGCATCATAGATATACATGGCACTCCTAGGGTTGCCAACTTTCTAATTGCACAAAACTGAACACCCTAGCGCCCCGCCTCACTCTCCCTCACCCTCATTCACTTCACTGGGCTGGGGCAAGGGGTTGGGGTGCAGAAGGGGGTGAAGGCTCTGGGGTGGGATTGGAGATGAGCGGTTTGGGGTGCAGGAGGGGGGTCCAGGCTGGGCGGTGGGGCTGAGGGATTTGGAGTGCAGGAGGGGGCTGGGGGTTGGGGTGCAGAAAGGGGTACAGGCTCTGGGGTGGGACTGGGGCAGGGAGTTGGGGCTCATGGTTGGGGTGTGGGCTTACCTTGGGTGGCTCCCAGTCAGTGGCGCAGCGGGGCTAAAGCAGGCTCCTTACCTGCCCCAGAAGCAGTCAGCAGGTCCAGCTCCTAGGCACGGCACACTGCACTTGCCTGCAGGCACCGCCCCCTCCTGCCCCCGGTGCTTCGGACAGGGGCAGCTTGTGGAACCCCACGCCTAGGAGCTGGACCTGCTGGCCGCTTCCGGGGCACAGCGCAGTGCCAGGGCAGGTAGGGAGCCTGCCTTAGCTCTGCAGCACCGCCAGATGTTTAATGGCTCGTAGGCACTACCCAAAATAAAGATGGATTCACTGCCCCAAAATCTATTTAACCTACTAGGGTTAGCAGTGAGATGGCCTAGAGAAGGAAATCAACCAGACTCTGGAATCCTGCAGGGTCATTGTGTCCCATCACAACACTTCCCATGCCCACAGGCTGCGTTCTCCAATAAACTAGCCCTCAGTTCCCCATGTTTGGAACCCGATCCAGGAGTTCCAAGCAGCTCAGATGTTTCAGACCCTTACAAAGCCGCTGGGTTTTTATTGTGTCTCGCTGAATCTTCTTTGGTCTTCTGTGTAACAAGAACGATATCTGTGGTAATGGAAAATCCAAATGAGTCTGTCCTCATCATTAACTAATCATGTGAAAACCGCATGCATTGCCTCCTATGCTCTTTCACCTTGAATGTTATTTCCTTGGGACTGCACTCCTCTGATACAGCGTGAGATAGGAGCCTATTGGAATTTCTGTTTGTTCCTATTCCTACTCCCTCTGCCTGCCCCTCCCCATGGTGTTCCTGCTTTTGGTGCAAGAGCTTTCTGCTGTGCAGCTCCTGCCCTCCGGAAAGCTGCGCTGTCTCGCTCCATGCTCTAGCTATGTTCAGATCATGTCTGTAAAGTTCTTTTCCCCCACTGCCTGTGTCTCTTCGTTGTTCTCTTCTCCTCTCACTCTGTGGTCTGTTGTTTCCCTCTGTAAGTAATTCTGGGCTCGTTTGTCTGAGTGACCCTATCTACACCACAGCTGTAACATGGGGCCATGCAGAGACGGTTTCCCTGTTAGCCCATTCAGATGGCAGCAATGCTGTCACCTCAATACAATCACTGAATGCAACTTCCTTGTGTCACATGACAGCAACTCAGGGAACTGTCGCTATCAAGCAGGTCTCTGATCAGATAACTGACCACCTGACGGCACAGGTCTTTAGCACAGTGGCAAAGGGCACTGCTAGCCAATTGACCCTTCCTGTGATCATTCACCAGGACCTGTCGTATTTTAAACCTCCCTCCACCTTCCAAGTTAACTCACTACAGACTTTAGAAGCCAGTTGGGAAAGTGACACTTCAGTCCTGCCATGGTCTTTAAACTGGGAGAGATGGGCAGCTAAGCAGCTGTGTTGACCCCTGGGTATAGTTCAGTGGCTGGGCTGTGTCACATCATCACTCATCTGAAAGCTTTGTCAGGATAAACGCAGAGAACCACTCAACCAGAGACCACCCCCCCCCCCCCCGCAATTACAATGAGTGTTCCCCTGTTGGAATGAAACAAGCGCAGCTGGCAGGCCAGCTGAGAAAGGGCTTCACTGTATAGACGGTTGGGACAAAGCTATGTCGAAACATTGTGTGTCATGATGGGCCAAGGGAGGTAATGATGTAAAGAGACCACAAGGTCCTGGAGTTATTGGTGCCACCATGATCTCTGCTCTCTTGGGCACCTCTGTGATTGTGGCCCTGATTGTTGTCACTCTGCGAAAATTCTGTCTCCTGAACTCTCCCAAAGGGCAGGACCATGCCGGAGACCCTGCCTGCGGCTCCAACCATCATGTGCGATCTGGCCCCAGGCAATTATCTCCTAGTGAACACGCACCCCTGTGGCTACACAGCCCCTTCCCCACCCAGGTTACTGCACTGCCTTCAAGTCTATAGCAAATGCTCAGATCCAGGCATCACTTTAAAATATGCTTCCCTCTTATCTTCCTCCCCCTCTCCACTTCCCTCCCTTGCTCATTTTCACCCACCCCAAGGCTTCCAACACTTGGCTGTCACTGGTCCAGAGCCGCTGGGATTGCTGGCGGTGGCTTTCATGAGGTTTCCAAAGGGAAGCCAGCAGCAGCACCACTGCTCCTTGGAAGCCTTGCTGCTATCCGAGGGAGAAGGGCTGTTGTTGGGGATGGAAGTCAGCAGCTGTAGTGTCTGCAGGGTGCTGCAGGGGGGAGGGAGGAATGGGGAAGGGGGTTTAGATGAATGTTAATGATTAGTGCAGGTGGTTTGGTTTTATCCCATTTTTCCTTGGAGTTTGGTAGAGGAACATTCATATTTGAAACTGGCTTTCTTCAATTAACCACTGTAAAATCTAATAGCCCTGGCCCCGTCCATACATGTGCTGGGGCCTGCGGTACAAGGGCTGGCTGCTGAATGCGCAGTGTGGGGGCGGCTCTGCGGAACGATTGCGCCAGTCATTTCCATAGTTGTACTCGGCACTGGGTATTTCTCAGGCATGCGGGATCGCGCCCAAGGGCAGTGGGTGCTGAGTATTGCAGGAGTGGAAGATTCAGCCCGCCTGGGTGGAGGGGAAGGGTGGAGCGTGTCCTCACTAAATACTGTCTCCTGTGGCTGCCAGGAGATTAGTGGGGACAACACTGGACATTCCTGCCTCAGCCTTCCTGGTCCTGGAGCTGGGCAGTCTGCTGAGCTCTATGTGCCCAGGGATTTGTGGATATATGGTTTTCCACAGGCCTTTAGCTTGGAGTGATCTCCAGCTCTTTGTGTGGTTCTGAGCCTTTCTTTTCTCTCCCTGGGTTCTCTGCAGGGTCTCTGGGTCCTGGAGCCATCAGTGCCATCGTAATCGCTGCTCTCCTAGGCACGTCTGTGATTGTGGCCCTGATCGTCATCACCCTGCGAAAATTCTCTGCCTCCTGAACTGAATAAAAGCTTTTTCCTAATACAAGTGTCTTCTGCCTGTCTGTGTCTCTGGCCTACTCCATCTGTGTCTGATTGCAAAAGACCCCATTGAGGCTCAGTGAGGAGTCTCAGGGCCTTTTAACAGACTTTAACGCCACCACTGCCCTCCATGTATGTTTACTCCCACCTCAGTGGTAAATTAGAGCCATGTGGGCTGATGCTGCAGGAGCATCTCTGGGTTGCTCGTGCTGCTCTGAGCCACAGAATTGTTCTGGTCCTTTGCTGGAAGCTGAGAGATTTGTGACTCTGTGACACTTACGCATAGCTGCTGCCCTTGCTTCCTGCAAACAGCCACCAGCAGCAAAGCATTCACAGCATGAGCTTCAATATCCCTCTGATCCTGGCAGGAGCAATCCAGGGCAGGGATGGGAGGGACTCAGGCAAGGAAACTGACTTCACCCTGCTGTTGTGGATTTTGCTTAATGGCTTTCTGATCCCCCAGCCCACCTGTTACACTCACCCCCTACAAGCCACTCCCCTTCATTGCGGGGCACAAACTTTCAGATACTCTTCCTTATGCACACACTTTACTTGCTCCTGATCAATACAGTGGTCTGTGGGGCAGGCACAACCGCTACTAGGATTAGAGAGATGTCCCATCGTCACCTCTCGACTTATAACTATTCTGGAGATGCAGCTACAGGATTGTTGCATTCCCACTCCTGGTTCTTCCCCCTCCCGCCCCTGAACTTTTCATATATGGTTGCAGCCCTGGGCTGTGATACCTTCATATGCTGAAGTGACTGATGGCTCTCTTGCTCTCATCGTATTTCCTCCTGTTTTCAATATTGTCCTCCAGCTCCATATGGACTCTTGCAATTTAGTGCCCCTGAGGGATGGTGCCTTGTTTGAGATTTTACTGGAGAACTCTGATGTATAGTGGTAAGCAGTCAAACATGGCAGCAGCTGCTACCTGTCAAAGATCTGAACAGGACCTTCGGTGTTTCTGTTCTCAGTGTAAGACCATATCGAAAGGGCTCTTGCATCCAAAGGTGCAAGAGAGGGTGATGACAGCAGCGTGGGACTAGGCAGGCAATTGCCTGAGACAATGGATGTCTCTGTTAAAAGCTGAATCATAGAATACCAGGGTTGGAAGGGACCTCAGGAGGTCATCTAGTCCAACCCCCTGCTCAAAGCAGGACCAATTCCCAACTAAATCATCCCATCCAGGGCTTTGTCAAGCCGGGCCTTAAAAACCTCCAAGGAAGGAGATTCCACCACCTCCCTAGGTAACGCATTCCAGTGCTACGCATTCAGTGAACTCTGAGACTGTTCCACCAGCAACCACTCTCACTGCCCATCACTTAAATAGGAACATTTATTCCCACCTAGTTACATTGCTCAGGGCTGTGGATAATTTTGCACCGTGTCACACAATTAGGTTGCTCTAACCTCCAGTGTAGGTGCAACTAGGTTGACAGAAGAATGGCCCTCAGAGGTCCATTAATGACCTTAATGGAAAAACCGCCTTTGTTGTAGGAAGCATCTATGCTACAGCTGCGATGCCATAGCACTGTAATATAGACATACCCTTAGTGAGGTGTTTTTGAATGGGCAGCGCCTGACCCTCAGGGTAATGATTGCTGGGGCAGACTGTAGTGCTGTATGAATGTCAGATAAGCAGCAGTTGCTGTTTACTGGGAAAGGTGTTGAGTTGCTAGCAGTAAGAACTGAAATCCTCACTCCACGAAAATGGCACAGGATGGTCAGTGCGAGCAGTCTCTTGCATGCACCAACACTGACCCGCAGATACTCTTGTTACCCCTGATCTACAGGTCTCTGTCGCATGTGAATGGTGTCACTTGTTATGTGGCCATCTGTCAGTTGAGCTAAGCATTCTAACTTCTTAAACCTAGGCCACCAATCCACTGTCAACTGGTATTAACTCTGTCCCTGGTGCCTGCATCCAGAAGTGAACCAGCGCTTGAGCTGAAAGGCTCAGTATTGCTTTAGGTCTTCACTGCTTCCACTCACTAACATGTTCATGAGGCTGGGACAGAGCTAGGAAGGGGAATGGAACTGACTCCATTCTGGCTATGTGCTGAGTCACATGAGCATGATGAGGGAGGAAAATGGTGGTGATGGTCACACTCTGGATGAGAAAATGAAAACGCAAACAGGGCCAGGCTTTGGAAGTTGCTGGCGCAGTCAGCTGTATTTTCACCACAAGAAAAACAACAACAACAAGAGTTCTTTTCAGTTCACTCAGGCAGCCTGATAATGACCTGGGATCTCAAACCTGCACTCGTGTTTCACAGACTGAGCCCATCGATAGCATTAGACCACCTGAAACTGACACATGTTGGACTGTGTGGAATGGAGGAGGTTAAAAATGTACATAGAACAAACCCGATTCAGTGGCTGAATATAATGTACCAAGTGTGACAGTTAGGAGTCCCAAAAACCACTATAAAGTGACTTAGGTGTTGGCGTAAGTCCAAGGTTCTGAGCTAGAGGGCAAAGGCCAATGAAAGACCGGAAAACCCTCTCCTCCAAAGTTGGCCATTGAATGATCTCAGCCAGGTAAAATTCATTGCCCCCTAGCCTAGGACAAGTATTTTTTAATTGGTGATCGTAGTATCTTCATTTTCATTGTAAAAATCATTTTTTGTCCCAGGCAAGTGCCAGGGCTAGGAAATGTTCATAACAATTTGGGCAAGGCTAAATGATCTGTAATATGCTTGTATCTATTTGTCTTAAATAGTTTTCATAGCTAGAGCTTCCATGTTTTGGCTTTCAACTAATTACCTGTAAACAGCTGCTGCTATGAGTCTTGGACCCTGAGCTTAAAGTCTGGTTGTACTTAGAAAAGTGACTGTACAATTTATTTGTGGTCTTTGTATTTATAGGATCTCTGGATAAAATATGCTCAATTTACAAGTCAAATGGCAATTGTTTTTCTAACTGCCAGCCCTACAAACCCAAGCTGGAATCTGTCAGTCAAGTTGAGGCCCTTCTGGCTCACATATCACCAGTAGTAACCATACTGAGAGGTGAGCTCTGCCCTCATTGGAATACACTGGAATACAAGACCTGTGGCATAGCCAAGGCTGGCCCAGATCAACTGGCTTGGGCTACAGGGCTAAAAATTGCTGTGTAGACAATTAGGCTCGGGCTGGGTTCTGGGACCAGCCCCCCTCGAGGGGTCCCAGAACTGAGGCTCCAGCCAGAGCCGAAACTTGTACACATCAATATTACAGCCCCGCTGCCCAAGCCTGAGACAGCTGGGGACCTGGACCAGCCACAGGGGTTGAATTGCTGTGTTGACATATCCATAGGCACTTGTCTAACTTAAGTAACTATGAATGTTCTCAGGTGTAAGAGAGCGGAATCTGAATTTGTCAGCTGTTTCTGATGTGCTCCTCACTGCGCTATCTACGAGTTCAATACAGCATTAAGATTTCCATGCACTTGAACCTTAACAATTCTGTTCATATGCAAGCCACAACTGAATCCCACTCACTCTCCCATAGCTGTGTTAGCGCTGCAATACTAATGACTGCATTGTATGAAGAGCCTGGCTACAGCAGAGACAGTTACACTAAAGTACCTCGATGTAGTCACACTGGCATGAGCCTCTGATGCAGGCACGCAGCAGTGATGAAAAGTGGGGTTTATGCCGGTAATTGACTGCATCAATTGTAGTGTGACACCAGTGCAAATGTCTAATGTAGATAGGGTCTAAAGCACACGGTGGTGACCCGTCTATCAGCAGAGTAAGAAGGTGCTGGCTTTCCCCTCCTCTTTTTGACCACAACCACACTGACATGATACTGCCCAATCTGAATGTGGACAGTGGGGTGTTAAGCAAGGCTAGCAGGGGAAGGCGCAGAGATCAGAAGCAGCACTGAGTGTCAAGAAATGCCTGGAAGACTCTGCTTTACTGCATCACAGAAAGATGCTGAATAATTTGAATTCCCTGATTTATGTTCATGCAAATAAATACTTTGGGTCAGTTGTCCTTTTTGTAGCTAACAAAGGGCCACTCAGAGAAGGGGCCGTTCTGGAACCGCTTAGAGCAGAGCAGGCCCAATAGCCATTTGTTAGGATGCTTATTCAGGGTCAGTTTTCAACCACTGTCCGTTCTCAGTTCCCTGCCGAAGCTCTTGATCCCTTGCCCTGTGTTTCATGCAATGTTGAGCTGCATCATATAAGGAAATGATTCCCTTGTCCTTCTGGCTACTGAGGACTTTCCTATATACATGGAGGCATCAATACTGTACATACAGTTCATGCACACAGCTGGTTAGCTGGGTTTAGAGAGGACATGCAGGCCCTCACATAGCTTTAGTACAATGTCCCCTACCGCCCTGGCCAACTTCAGCTATTTCGCTTGAGTTCTCCTTGTTAAGGATGGGCCGACTGCTGCCGGGCTGCCTCTGCCTGAGCCGGGTGGCTGAGCGCAGCCTCTCCCTTTGGAAACACACTCCACAGCCCACGGAGCTGTCTGGGAATGTGGTAGAGATTTGTGGAAATGGTCAGTTTACATTACATTCCAAATAGAAACTGACAATGGATTGAGCAAAGTCCTGCAAATTTACAAACGTGCTGGGAAATGCTCTACATGTGAAGCCTCTGGCTCTGCTAGAATATCATCCGTGTGTAATGGTTTGTCAGCTGATGTGCAAAGTCAGTGGCCTCATAGTTCCTTTTACCCTATCTGCTCTCTCTCTCTCTGAATGTGTGCAGTGCACTCTGGCAAAGAAACCCCATGTACCAGTGCTACTGTCTTGCCCGTGCTTTTGTCTGTTAGTGCAGTTAGGGTGAAGGCAATCATGAGTTCCTCTCACAGCAGGGCTCTGCCTGCTTGTGGCAGCAGGTGGATGAAACCCTCTGCTGCTGTTCTGTGCACAGAGAACCTTGCATTTGGTACCTCCTGGGGGTGGAGCCATCGGTGTTCAGGCACTGGGTTAAGTGCAGGAATATAGTGAGTAAAGAGTTCGGGCTGCTGAAAAGCAGGGTGTGGTGCTGTTGGTTTAATTTGTTAGCGCATTTGCCTAGAACTGGGCTCAAAGACCAGTATGGGGGGGAGGAGTGGGCCCAGCAGCCCAACAACAGGACTGGGAATCAGGCATCAGAAGTCCTGAATTCTAGTCTCAGCTCTGGCACGGTCTCCCTGTGTGATTTCAGGTGAGACAACTTCTCTGCCTCAATTTCCCCACCTATAAAATGGGGACTTAAAGTAACCTATCTCACAGGGGTGCTGCCAAGCTTAGAGGTTCTGCTAAGTGCTTTGACCCAAAAAAGCACCATGTGCGCCACACAAAGAAAGCCCCTAGTGCCATTGTTAATTGCCAGGTGCCCACTGGAAGAGGTAAATGGCTTCAGCTGTAGTGTGTATGCACGTGTGGGATGGCACGAACCCATTCCTACAATGGAATCTCTCCGCGAGGGGGTAGCTAGGAGACAGAGTTTTCTATGGTACGTAAGGTAGAACTGTTCCCCAGCCCAGCTGATTCTATCCATTTATACTAGAAAAGCAACTAAAGCAACTCTTATATATGACCAGCTGGTATGTTACAGCTGTGGTGAACCTCCTGGGTGGCTCTGGTGCGGTCTTGTCCAGTAGCTCCTCACTGCACAGGGGCGCACTTGGCACTCTTTGGGGTTGGCAGCACAACTGGCAATCCATTACATTGAATAGTTCCTTGAGCTTTAGACAAGTGGCCTCTCCTCTTCCTGGGGTTGGTCTCCAGAGGAATACAAAATGTAGAGGGAAGAACTTAGTAAACAGAGCAAAGTCTATTTGTGTCGGAGGGGGTATGACCAGCATGTTAAGACCAGGCCCTATGCCCTGGCCCATAGTACCAGCACCACCACCTCATTCTCTCAGCCTGCAGCATCTGCCCTCCATCTTTCTCCATAAGCCATTAGATATTCCTTGTGCTCCAGGGCTGGGGGAGACCAGGGGTCATTGGCGATTCCTGCTGCCCAGCTTCCTCCGCTGACTGTCATCCGACTTGTGGACCCGGAAACACTCTTTTAGGTTCTGCGATCGGATCTTGGGGTTCAGAATCTCCTCCCCCATAGAGCTGGGGAACCAGCCCCTTTCCTGGTCATGAAGACGCTCCCCAAAAATCCAACCTGAGGGGCAGGGAAAACATGTAGCAGGACAAGTCAACAGGACTAGAATGCCCAAGTGCAGGAATGAGTACGAATGAGAGCGAGCCACCAAGGCTATGCTTTGGAGGCCTTGGGTTCAATTACTGCCCTTGAGACATACTGCTGGCTTAGCGGATACAGGTAAGGATTAAGAAACCAGGAAAAGCCTGGACTCTAATCCCTTCTGAGCCACTGACTCACAAGTCACCTGACCTTGTATCCTAGTTGCAAAACTGGCTAAAAAGCAGATGCAGATGCTACCTCTTCGCTAACCATTCCTGGCTACATCAGTACAGAGACCCAGAGCAGGGACCGGACGTAGCTGCACTTCTCAGCCAGAAGAGGGAGTGCAAGATACAGGAACGAGGGCCTTAGCTGATGTTTAGTCCCAATGACAGCTAAATTCTGCTGTTGCCTACAGGATCACTGTCCCTAGGGGTCTGTCCTCTGATGCTGATGTCCCATAAGAGACAGGGAGGACAACCTGGGGTTCCCTGAATGGTTGTTACAACAAGGGCACTTTTTTTTAAATCTAGAGGAACCTCCCTCTGTGTTCAAAAGCAGCCTGTCCAGGAGACAGCTCTGTCGCCCTTGTGATGAGTGATTTTAGGGATGCCTGGAGCCCCATCGCTCTTACCGTCATCTGTCTTGTCCAGGATGTTAAGAACATCTGCCAGCTCCAGGGACAGCTCGTCTGGTTGCTGAGCCACATACGGATGGACACACTGCACCTGGGGGCAATCTGACAATGGGGAGGGAGGGAGAGGGACAAAGTAATCCAGCTGCCCCAGAGTCCTGTGACTGCTGTACAGTATAAAATGGTGTAGGCTGGTCTGCACGAGCAACTTTTGTATAACTACATCACTTGGGATGTAGAAAATCTAGCGCTCTCGGGGAGGTGGATTACCTACACCAACAGGAGAAGCCCTCCTGGTGCAGCCTTTTAAGTATAGACAAGCCCTTAGATAGAGCAAGATGGGGGAAGAGGCTTCTAAGGTACCAGCACAAGATATGGCATGAGAAATGGAGCATGTAAACTTAGAAACAGGTATTACTGTATCATACGATCCCTGGTTCCCTTATGCTCCCAGGGTGTTATCCCACACAATGCGGGGTTGGTGACACACCTGCTGCCCGGATCTACAGGGTTGAGCCTGAGCCAGACAGTCCTTTGAGCTGGGAATGCTGCAGTAGGCTGCTAGAAGTGGGCTGGCTCCAGTGCTATAAAGGGCTCAAAGAGAAGGTTCAGAGGCCCTGGCTGAGTGTTAACTTCAGTGTGGGGAAGGCTAGGGGTAACCCTAGCAGGCTGCCCCACAAGGCCCTATCAGGTGGCCTGCAGCTCTGTGAACAGTTCCATGGGAGTCGGGATGAGGCTCTGGGCCTACCAGCAAAAGACACTGGCCATAGCCAGAGTGGACACCTTTTTAGTGTGCGCTTTTTTACAGCCTTGGAACACGCACACTTGTGGTAAAGGGCTTCTGTTGTGGCAGCCTGCTCTGCCCAGACCAGGGGTGGCCCCCATGTATTTATTGTTGCTCTGCTCATGATCTGTGTGTGTTGGCCAGTTTGCTAGGGCAGTGGACCCAGCTAGGATAGGAGTGAGCCCTGCAGAGGCACAATGGTGAGCAAGGCCAAAGGGGAGATGATGCAGGGCCTGCCAAACTGCTTACAGAGGGAAGGGACTGTCTTAACCCCCACGTCTCTGGAGGGGAGAAGGAGCCATGTCAGAGCAGCCTGAGAAGTGCTCCAAGTGCAAGGGCAAGCTGGGGGGAAAAGGCACCGTCAAGGATTGGGCTGCTCTATGATGCTTCCCCAAACTATTGTTAGCCCTTGTTTTGGGTAGCAGTCAGTGTGCCCAGTGTTTCCCAACCCACAAAGGCAACATAATCCCTGCCTCAATTTGCTCATGGCTGAAAGACAGTGGCTAGGGAATGAGCCTCAGATGCACAATGGCCAGGGAGGCTGTACACTCTGTTCCCATGGGATTGATCAAGCTGGCCCCTCTCAGTCAGCGAGTTCCCTTTGGTGTCATGGCAGAGGGGGGGCCTTTGAGAAGGACTAAATGTGCAGAGGATTGGGCTGAGCACAGGCAGAATTAGCCGCAGAGACAGAAAGAAATGGTCAGGTCTTAGATGTTGGGGGGAGGCGGCAGCCACAAGAAGATTTGGAAGCTGCTTGGAGTTGTGGGGCAAGGGAAGATTCGCAGACAAACCCCTGGTTACAGGCTTGAGAGATGGAGCTGCTGATGATGTTGGCAGTAACAGAGCGGAAAGGTAAGGACTTGGGAGTGAAGATGAAGGACTATTTTAGACACATTAAGCTTATGTTGATAGACATCCAGGAAAAGAAGTCAGAGAGACAGACTAAGATGCAGGATTCTGGATGGATACAGACCAGGAGTGAAGAGGGAGATGTGTGGGTCAATGTGCAGAGATGATTGCTGAGGTGGTGAGTGGAGAAGATTAGCTGAAGGGGGGAAAGGGGGCGCTCAGTAAACAGTTCTGTGAAACTGTAGTGAGGCAGAGTGGCCTGCCTCTGAGCCTGATGGGGAGAAACTGCCCCACACCCCCGGTGGGTGGAGCCAAGCCAGCCCCGCCCTCATGTTGGATGTGGTGGGACAGGAAGTGTAAGAGGCAGGCCCTCCAGCTCAGTTGGGCCGGAGCCAGGGAAGGAGGCAGACCTATCTGTACCCCACTGCAGAACTCTGACCAAAGACTGAGCTGTGTGGTGCCCCGCCCATGAAGGAGACTGACTGTGGAGAGGAGTTGCTGGGACTGCCATCTGCGATTCACCCAGAGTAGACTGAGGACCTATGGACTACAGAGCTACACCAGGGAAGGGGTTGGGGGAGGAAGTAGCCCAGGGGAACCAGACATTAGTCCAGTTGCATGATCAGAAAATGAGTCAGCATGTTTCGGTGACTTCCCTGCTGACCCAGAGCTGACCACTCACCACTGTTTGGGTCCCAGGCCAGGGCCCTGTGGAGTAGGGTGGACTCAGGTCTGTGACGTTGTGCAGTCTATATGGTTTTATAAAAACATGATAATAAGTGAATATAATGTAACTGGGATAGTTTTAGAAAAATATGGTAAAAAGTGAATATAACATAACCGGGATATGCTTC